AATAAACTTAAAAAAATCGAGTTTACTACTGAATTTCGACACTACGCAGCGCATATCTGCATTTTGATTCTAATTTGAAGATAAATTAAGATCCACTTACCATCAGATGGACTGTGGCCTTGTTTCTCATCCATTTTCTATATAAAAAAAAAAAAACTATCAGATTACCCATCTGACAGTAGGTAAATGAAAGTACTTTCGTGAATATCCGAAATATAGGATACGTGGAAGAGCAAAAATTATGGTCGAGCTCGACTAGGAAAGGATTACGCTCGCATAGAATACCAGTGTGAAATGCAGCATCATATTGTCGTTTCGTATGGTGATAACAAAAATCGGAGACCCTATTTAGACGACTTCAAAATAAAAGATGAGCTGAAGCTATTATGCGGAAATAATTTTATTCTTTTTAATTCTTTGAAGTCTGCTTTCTCTCTTTATTAAGAGTCTAATTTTTGACCTTTGTGAGCGGATAGAGGAATATCAAAATTAGAGAACAAGAAATTGCCTACATTAACAACTTCATCCCCTATTTTTCCACCAACCCATTTAGTAAAAAAAATCATTCAAATCGGTCAACGATTGACGAAGTATATAATATATTATAAGTATATAATTGAGTAACATATATATAAAAAAGAACACAACCAGATTGAGATCCTTCTTTCTTTTTTAAAGTCTACTAAAAAGGGCGTTGAGATAGATGGCTCAACGTACAATGTATGGTTCGTAGCTCGGTTGGTTAAATAAGATTCACTAAAGTCGACTGTTCTGATATATTAAAAAATTTGTAGTACTCTTTATTGATTGTCTGGCCTATATGCCCATATTCATGGTGCACAACGCTCTCATAATCAAAAAAAACCAATCAACATTGACTTGATGTTGCTTCGACTTTGACTGGCTTTTTTTAGGCTCAGATGGAAGCTTCCACTGCGAAGATTGTTGTTTTGTTTCGGAATCATAACCATAAACCCATGATTCATCACCAGTAATAACCTTTTTAAGAAATTTTTCATCACTATTAATCATTTCATGCAAATTCGCTGTTCGGTTCGTTCTGCCATTTTTAGTAATAAGCAAATTGCGAGGAACGCAAATAAGTCGTAAACAAATACATGCTGCGCGGAAGCTAAGGCGTTTCATCGGTATTAGGAGTTGCTGGTGACATTCGTACCCACCAGAGGTCGCCTGAGTCTCTCTGCGCGAAGATATGAACGTAGGTCGGATACTGTTGGGACAGACCTCGTGTTTAGCCCAAATATTAACATTTTAAAACTTGCATTCAAGACGCGCGTCGCGGCGTGTCCTTTCGATGGAATTTAAGGTCACCGCCGCGCGGGTCTCTCGGCTGACCGCTCGGTCGCCTGACGTGAAATTGTTCGCGACCGCCGTGTCGGTTAAACGGTCTAAAATTTACTCTCGGAACCGCCTCTGATAGCGTTGTCTAATCTCGTGCGTTTTACGTGACAACGAGGCTTGTCTTATTATAATTCTTGTTGTAATAGTTTGGAGTGATTAACTTAACTTCGATTACCATTAATTTGCGTCGACGAGTTGCTTTTGTGGCATTTTAATATCGTACGAAGGAATTTTTGCTTTGTTGTGTGGAACGCTAAAACTTTGTGACTCGAGAGGAGATCGCGTTTATGCCCGACAGTTCTTAAGTTGTGCAGTGTGTCACTTGTTTTTAAGTTCGATTAACGTTGATTCAGTTAAATTTGAAGTTAATTAAATGTTTAATAAAATTGATAAACTAATATAGTGAATTAAAAGCTGAAAGTCTCAATTGGTGAACGCCCATTGGAGGGACCGCACATTGTGGAGAAAAGCAGCGCCTGTGGGTCTGCTGTCGATTACATCGGTGACCTCAGGTTACATTTATACACACTTTCGCACACTACTTACATACACCTTACTTACCACCTGACTGATACCTTGTGGTCAACCCTACCTTCGAAACTCGGTAAGTTTGTGTTTGCTTATCAGCCATTAGTTAATAATTATCCATAGGCCATTCGGGCCCGAACCCTCTGGTTGCTCGTTGAAAGTGTTACTCATGGGCCCTAATACAGTCGACTTCTGTCGGGGCAACTGAGGGCCGTAACACCTCGTATGATAGACAGCTCCATTTGTGCAAAGAAATCACTGCAATTCTGTTTTTAAGCCATAATCCGTAATATAATTAAATAATCACAGTGAAAAATAATACCTATGTGAAAAGGAAACAAAATTCCATCGAATTTTGTTTAAACATATTCCAAATAGAATTTACAAAAAAAATCTTATTTTAAGTTGTAACATTATACTTCAGAGCTTAGATTAATAATAGGTCATCGCGCGGTCAGAGCGTGCGATGACTTATCATTAATCTAAGCTTCAGGAGCTTCATTTAAATATTCAAATCTAATAGTATGTAATAATAATTTTGTTTTAGGTGGTTATAAGCACCCGAATGCTGCTAGGCTTTGGACTAATCTTACTGCTGTAGTGACTGGTGTAGAATTAGATGAAAATATTCCAGAACATGATGACTGGCCAAAATACGGACCGGATTATCTGTTGTCAGTACAGCCTAGTCTTACAAAAGATTTAAATACAGAACAGTACCTGAATGAATGTATAGCAAAAATAAAATGTAAGTCTTGAGATGAACAGAGAAGTAAAGCTGGATCTCGAAACCCACATTCATTCTAACAGTATGAAGTACGGCGGAGATGCTTCCCTGTATCACATAGTGATATGAAGTGCCCACCACGTCACACTAACTGACTGGGAAGTATTATAGTATGGTTGAAATGTTGTTTATTGCAGCTGCTAATGATAGCCGTTAGTCTATTAAAGTCCACTGCTGAATGTAGGCCTCCCCATAAACTGCCTTATAGGGTAGATATTTGACATAGTTGTCACGCTTGGCGAGTGGGTTGGCAACTGGTTTTTTTTAGTCGTTGTTAGGAAGATGCTGCTGCCCATATCCTGATTTTTTTAATAGGACAGTGTGACAAACACAGTCCACATAATGGTAAGTGGTTGCTGTGACCCATAGACATCTACATCTATCCTCAATAAAGAATCAAAATGCAGATGTGTTGTCACCCGTGAGGACTAAGATGGAATGCCTCTTTTCCAGTAAAAAGGGTCTCCAGTTCTCTACACTCACCATACGAAACACTGCTGTGTTAAGCTGCTATTTTACGCTGGTATTCTGTGAGAGCGTGGTCCTTTCCCGGTCGAGCCGAACCATTCGTGCTACAACTATACTACTAATATAGTTGCAGTATGGCTCTACCACATATGTTTCCCTCTGTCACCTCTTACAACACCCTCGGGATGATATGATATGGGGCAGTGGATATTCTTACACCACCAGTACACAGTAGTCCTAATGATTATTTGAGTAAACAAAAAGAGCAAGCACATAATTAAATTACACATTACTTATATTGTTATAAAAATTGTCATCATTTACAGGTAACCTTAATACAATGGCTGCCAACAGTAATCAATTTCTGCCATCTAAAAGTAAAGTGGAAGCTAATAAAAACTCAACAGGTGAAGGTATAGATATAAAACAAGATACTAAAAATGTAAAGGAACTAGGATCACAAATGGAAAATAAAACTAAAGATGTATATGACTTTGACGATTAAGATAATAATATTCACAAATAAATTTTTTAATTTGATGTTTGTCATTTCTGAGGTATCTTCATCAAATATCTTAAATAATATTTAATTCAAATAATAAAACCAATTTTATAAAATTGTAGAATCTGCCTTCACTTTTTAATTATCGATTAAAACACAAAATAAGTGAAAAAAATGTATTTATAGTTCTCTCAGTGAATCGTCGAACACAGTTGTAATTAATAAAACATGTGTAACATAAAAAATATGTTTAAAAACCTAGATAACTGTCAGAACTTACATAAGACGAGGTACCCATATAAAGAAATACTTATATTGACAAATTCTATCATATAATATGTCAATCTTATGAAAAATGCAGGCATTACACACTTATGAATTCTATTTAAAGTATAGTAAACAGCATGTTATATGTAAGCTATTTGTTCAAACGATTTTATTCCATAGACATAATTGCAACTAGGTCATTTTATTATACAGGGTTATTTTGTAATAACCGGCCAAATTTGCAGAGAAGGTTCAGAATAAGTAATATATGCAAATGGTGAAGAAAAATTTATTGAAAAAATCTCAATAATTCTGTCCTTTTTGTCTTTTAAATTCAAAATGAATTATTTTAACTGATTTTACTGCGCACGCACACATTCGTAAGGGTCGATCGGTAAGCAAAAACGTTATTGCCCATAAATTATATTCAATTTGGTATAATTTCAAATAAAAGTAAAAGCCTTATTTACATTCGTATTTTCAAAAACTGCAATAATGGTACATATATCATTATTTATATATTTGAATTTTAATTTGGTTACTCTGAAAAATAACCCTGTATTTACAATTCTTTCCCATACTTGATGACCAAAGCTAAACTTGGCTCTAGGTGTCGTACATTTATTCAAGTTGTTTTTATTTGATTTGGTACAGATGATTTTGTAGTATTGAAACTAGATGGGGTTTTGTTTCTTCTCTATTCTAATATAAATAAAAATGACAACCTAAGGAAATCTTAACTTTCATATTATTATTAAAAAAAAAACCTTAAATGAAGGAAACTGCTAGGAATTAAGCTTTAATATTTTATCAATTAGAAGTAGCATCTTTTTAAGTTACAGTAACGTGCATGTCTTGCAAGCAGTGTGATTGAGGAGAAACAATACCTAGTTATTAAATAATCATTGAGTTTACAGCAGTGAAAGATTTTCTTTGTCTGTGACCATTTAACTTGGAGAAGTGACTTCTCTCAATAAGATAAATGCACATATAATAGAGTTAGGTTTATTAATATAATTCTGAAAGCCACATTACCAAAAATTCCACTCTCTGTTGTAAAATCAAGACATTTAATCCAGGTATTTTTTAATCAGATGGTCGTTTTTCACTATGTTTTTTAGTAAACTCTTCTGCATTCTTTGTAAATTTTTTCCTGTCTTTCAAAAATTCTTCAGCAAGTTCAGCACGTAAAGGATGTTCCGGTTCTGGATCATTTACAAGGGCAACTAGTGCTTGAATAACTGAAAAAAAATTCTGAATATTATAGTCACATGTTTATTTAAAGGAATACAATCTCAGAATACTGCTTTGTTTCGTATGGTGAGTGTAGAGAACCGGAGACCTATTTTACTGGAAAAGAGGCATTCTATCTTAGTCCTCATGGCTGACAACACATCTGCATTTTAATTCGCAAACGAAGATGGATGTAGATGTCTATGGGCCACAGAAACCACTCACCATCAGGTGGACTGTGTGCTCCTTGTCACCGTTATTCTATAAAAAAAATAATTTGAGGTACTACAAAATAAATATTTTTACAAATAAAAGACTTGTTCATTAAAATTATCATATTAAGTTTATATCACTTAACAGTATCCCTTCCCCTTACAGCTTATAAAAGTCCACTGCTGAACCTAGGACTCTCCTATAGATTGTCTCTTGCCATAGTTGCCACACTTATCAGGCAGGTTGTCAACTGCAGCATTTTATAATTTTAAGTTGTTATCACGACGATGCTACTGCCCATTTCCTGTTTTAGTTTCCCTCTGTCTCCTTTTACTATACCCACGGGATAATATGGGGTAGTGGATATTTTAATACTACCATTACACAGTGACTTAATCATCGGGCGATCGTTTTTCTACAGAGTAATCCAGTCCTCAGGGAGTTGGTTATAATTCCTCAATGCATATGTTCTCTACAACACTTAACTGTATCATTATGAAGTAAGTATTGAATATCTCTGATTTTTCAGTATAAACACAAAAATATAAAATATTACTTCAATGCATTGTAAGACATTCTTTCATCTTATCATTTGTATACAACATACATTACAGCATAACAACTTAAACTCTCACACATGCGGCACAGTCTAACTACCTACTAACAATTGCTCATCGAAGGCGTCTAGACAGGGCAATCGGGCGGTGCGGGGCGAGATGCAGGTGGAGTGTTGACAATTTCCGAGCGACTAACCTATACTTGGGAACTGTTCGCTAGGGTTGCCATGACACACTAATAAATTAAAATGATTCACACTACATTTGTGGTAAAAAACTGTGGCTCATCCTCATTTAAAGATAAGGAATTAGTTATTATAACCATTAGTTTGTTTTTATTTCTGAACACTCATTGTCTGATTAAGTTATTTAATTAGTTTAAACGTGAAATAAAATAAAATCAGTTTTTTTATTACTTCCAATTCCGACAACACTAGCAATTTATTATTTATGTTGGCTTTTCCGATAACATCAAACACCTCTTACCTTGGACAGTAAACTCAACTGGAATAAACACAGAAAACAAAATCTATATAGGCTGCATAAGGACTGCACAAACAGCAGCCTTGGAGGCGATGCTGGGACAAACCCCACTTTATCTACACATACAACAAGAAGTGACTTTAGCTGCAATTAGACTCAAGACCCTAAATTTTTGGAGTAAGAGCAGTCCCTCATACAGGTATAATTGATAGAATTTACTCAAAAATACCTATTTTACAAGCCAAGCATGATAAGATCCCCAAACAATTTGTATTCGATAAGTATACAATTAAATGAAACCATCCAGCCACTGGAGGGATTAACCCCAAAAGAGCTTGGAGTTTTCACCGATGGTTCTAAAATAAATGAAGGTGTTGGATCTGGAACTTTATCTGAAGACCGCAATATCCACTTATGCACACCGCTGGGTACAGTCGTTCAGGCGGAATGTATGGATATCATTCAAGCAGCCATAGCAATAGATGCTAGGAAGGTTAAAGACTTCTCCATCAGAATACTGACCGACAGTATGGCGGTACTACAAGCTCTGAGTTGCAATGTGGTGAATTCGGGACTAATATATGAATGCCATCAACGATTAAATGAGGTATGTAAACACAACAACATGACTACAATGGATAAAGGGGCACAGTGGACATCCAGAGACAACAATGCAGCAGGCGAACTGGCTTGAAGAGGATCGGCTCTGGTCACTATAGAGCGGAAACCAATCATACTAATCCCCTTTGGTAACATCTGTTCACTGATACGTAGAAACTTCACTAATAAACACTTTGGAAAAATCTAATAGATTGTAGATAAGCTAGGGAGGCCCTGCCTGAAATAAACAGTTGTTTGTTTAACCAAGGTTCTAATGAGACTGAATCATGGGACACTTATCTGCTATCACAGTACACTGCTCCTTTAACAAACATTTATTTAACATTAGTATACATAATACATTTACTCATGCATTTGGTGAAGTAATGAGACACCTTTTGCTTTTTTTACATCCGTATATCTATGCCTACATGCTCATCAGTTAAGCATACTCTTACATTGGCCCTCCTTTAATATATCACTAATTTAGGTAACACATATCAGTCCAGGGTGTCCCTTGCCAACTTCGCCACTTATTTTTTCAGCATAAATTTGCTTTGTTAGCCTATCTATCCTTATTGATTCTTTGTATGTTCTAATCAATAAAACATTTATTTATTTCTCTATTATCATACACTTTCTCACCCTATCATTCACAGAGTTATACTTAACACACTATTAGAATTAGATTTAGAAGTTTAGTGATTCAATACTTCTGGACAGACTCTACATAATCAGTCAGTCATCTGACAATCTGCAGGTGAGGTTTGCACTTTGATAAGTTGGCCTATTCTATTATTTAGATTGCCTCAAGGCTACAGAAATTCAACCTCTTCAAATTTCTTGTCATATTATAATTAATGCTTCAGAAAAGGCTTATTTTAGATTTCGGTGTAAAATAGACTTAACTATCTACCTTGATCAGTCTTAGTAGCAGGCTTCCAGTTTTCAGCACTTATAATTGGTAAACACACTTGACCTTTCTCATCAATATTAGGATGATAAATTTTTGTCTTGAAACTAATTTTAGGTGGCTTAAATGGATATTCCGCTGGAAAATTTATCTCAATACGAAAAGCACCTTTATTGTATGGTGGATTGTCCTGGAAGGTAATATATTTATAATACATACAATTTATTAAATTTTTAAATTGAATATATGTATATACATACAAAAGAGTCAGAATTAGTCCCTAGAATTATAACTTACAGGAACAATCAACCCTTGCCATGTAAGGATATTAGATTCATCTACTTGAATATCTCTAAATGATTTCAATCCAGATTGTCGTATGTCGTTTAGTTCCTGAAAGAAATAATAAATATATTTTCACCATGAAATAAAACAATAATAATTTAGGAAGCAAGTTAATATTAACAACTCGTAAAAGCAATAGGATATTTCTACTATATTTTCTAAGATGGTTACTTTCGATATCTTACCTTTTGAAGTCTCCTCGTAGCAGCCATTGTGCTGCCTGTTCTTTATAAAGTATGTTTTTTGGTCTGTAATAACTATATATAATGAAATTAGTAGTTAGAAACTATATCTGCAGTATGAGCTAAAAACATAATTCGATTCGTGTTTCAGAAATCAGAAAATATGACTCAGTAAAAAATGTCAATCTGTGAAATATCGCCGACCCCGAAACTAGGGATGACTATCTGAGATCGATTAATCGATTTTTCAGGCACAAAAGATCGATTTTTTAAAACGATGTGCAGTACTGAATCGATATTTCACCCTTGAAAATTTGAGTTTTGGTAAACACTGTAAAATGATTTACAATGAGGGCATCCACGACTTTTTCTGCCCCCAGGGTGGCGCCACTAGAAAGTGAGGTATAATATTTGACAGATTTCATAGCGAGTAAATTAATTTGTTCGGAAAATGTAAAGGTTTTTGTTTCTACTAATAGCTATATTTACATTAATAAGATTAAAAATAAAAAACCATACCACAGATAAGCATAAAAGTAAAAATATTAAAAAAAGTTAATATGTGCAAAAAATTAAAAGGGCAAACCACTGACGTATTGTTTTGTGTATTAATATAATACTCTAGAAACTGATAAACAATAGTTTAGTTAGTTTAAAAACCAACTTCTCAATTAAATTACATTGTGTAACAAAAAACTTTACCTCACTGTCAATTAGCAATGTATCCGTTATATTACGGTGTTGCTGGTTAAAGGGTTAATTACTCAAAAACTCTCGAGATGGCTGTATGCTTTTGCAGTTCCTTCACCTCCATTTAACAAAAAAGTTAGTTGTATTTGTTGATTGAAATTGCGTCATTCATATTTGTTTATATAAACAGACTGTGTCGTAATATTAAACTGTGATTAGCGAAATAAATACTTAATTCTGTGATACTAAGTGACAAGGGGAACCGCTAAGATCCCAGTAGATTTGACAGACTATTGTTTTTAAAAAGTTTAGATATGAAGCATTGGGAACTTTAACTTTTTTACGTAATAAATGTCTTCTTTCATACCTCATCTGACTTTGATATAGTAATAAAAATAATTGTTATTATCGAATTCCCTGAACCACAAAAAACTAATTTTATTAATAAGACATCATTTATTATGGTATCTACCTTGTTTTTCATAAAATGTATTTAAATTAACATTATAAATTCAAAAACGAAAAAAAACTCGATTTTTTAGTAATCTTTCTTTTAAACCTCGATTTATCGATACATCAGCTTACGATTCGAATCAATTTAAAAATCGATCTTTTTCGTAAAGAATCGACATCCTTACCCGAAACTCCCATGGCCAAAGAGTATATAATCACTACATTTAAGAGGCAGAACTTCCTTAGTAAGGTCATTGGTAATAGTCATAGAATGTACTGGCGTATAGACACAAATTGCACAAACTAATAATTAGAAGTACTATGTACAGCGCATGTATTAAAGCCTTGTGGCCCCTCTAAACTACTCGCGAATTTGATCAAAGTTGGGCGAAGAGAATAGTGTAGAGAGGTATTTCGATTTGCTTCGTGCAACCTCGCTTTTAAGCTCTTTAACTGAAAATTTATGGCAATAAGTTTTTTGCTTTTTTTTGTTTACACAAGTTTAAAAAAAGATTTGTCTTGTATTTTGGTTTTGAGACCAAAAGGTTGTCATTTGATTATTTATAATTATATTTTATTTTATTTTCATTCTAGTCCAATTTAAAAGATTCTGAACATTAGTGGCAATAATTATTTATAGTTTTTTTTTGTTGAAACTTAACGTTTAAAAAAAGATTTATTTTGTATTTTAGTTTTGAGACCAAATGTTGTCGTTTGATTTTTTAAACTTATAGTTTTATTTTATTTTCATTCTAATCCAATGTAAATAGTACTGAACATTTGTGGTAATAATGATATTTAGATTTTTTGTTTGTTCAAACTTAGTTTTAAAAACTATCGCTTACTAAACTTATCGTTCCTTAATGATTTCATATATTTACGCGAAGACTACACATTAAATTAAACTACTTTTTACGGATTTTATTGCGTTTAATTTATCTTTTTAATTCCCGACGTTTCGGGTGCTTTACATCACTCATAGTCACGGGGGGGACTATTTTTTTCTAGTGCAAATCGATTTTTCATAAATCGATTAATATCACAAAGCAAAAAATTGATTCTTTAGTAATCGATTTTTTCAGTCAATGTCACATCCGCTGAGCTCTTCGCGAAGTAGTACGAGTGTATAGTCACGTTCTTCGGACTGCGATCGACTTCGACGAGCACTTCATCAAAGTTACTTCCCGAATAGTGTAGTGGACGCATTAGAGTAATTACATACATACGTAATTAAAGCGCACGTATAGACGACCTGACAGCCCGCAAACGCGTGACAAATTTCGATTTGTCACTGTGTGGTATGAGACACCACACGGTGACAAATCGAAATTTGTACCTATCGATGTATATTTTAATCAGCTTTTTTAGCTGGCTACATATTTATTTATCTATGATTTTATCTGTATGGCGACCTATATATTTTCTATGATTTGATTTGACTATATTTAGTGATCTTGGTAGAGAGTAATTGTGTTCTGTGATTCTCAAAGGGCTAGAACCCAGAGCCGTAAAGCCAGTTAAAAAAATGTTCTGTGATTCTGTCATAGATAAATATATATGTAGCAAGCTAGATTCTGTGCGACCTGGTGCGACCATGAAGCAAATACAAAGAGGAGACGTTGTAATTAAATTTCACTATGTAACAACACGTGACAATTTGCGGGGTGAGGGGATGCAAAGCCCCGCCCACTACACTATCTACATCTACCGATAAATAGTAAAACTACTCGAATCTTTCCATATCGATGTTGCAATGTAGCTTAGCTACCTTGACGGTAGATGGCGGTATGCCCACAAAATGTTATAAACTTTAAAAATAACACTTTGGCGATTAAAATTTCTTTATGTCTCAATGCAAAGAAATTTCAGCACCTTCGTATGATTATTTTATCATTACTGAGCTCTACGTACCTTTATATTTTTAGTTCACAGGACACAAAGTGTCGCCATCTAGTGTGAAATATATTTAATTATATTTGAAAGCCGACGCAAAGAGATTTTTCTAGAACTATTTTAATAAATCAGGTGTAAAATTACTTACAAATGAAATGTGATGCCATCCATAGCATCGGAGCGTCTATCTCATGAAGCAAATACATTCAGACAAAGAAATTTTAATCGCCAAAATAATATTTTCATAGTTTTCATAATAATCTTGGAAAAGGCCGCCATCTATCGTCAAGTAAACCTCATAAAAAATAACAAAAAGACAGGGCCGCACTTAGAATTCAATTATTTTACCCAGTAACCCAACATTCAATATTAAAATGAAGGAAATTGTACTTGGCTGATTTTTACGAAATGTTTAAGTTATATTTAAGTGACATTCTATATGCAAAGAATCACTTAAATACAATTTAAATATGTTTATCATTTCGTGAAAGTCAACCAAGAAATATTTATTTTATCCATAAAATAAAGTCTCTTTGAAACTAAATATTCTATGTTCAATATTAAGTAGGATATTTAATTTGGAACTAAATATCCTACTTATCTCACTAATATTATAAAGGCGAAATTTTGTGTGCTCTTTCTGTCTCCTTGAGCTTATTCCACACTAAGTATGTGCAATTTTTTCACGCAGAAACGGCTGGATTATTATTTTAATATCTCTGAGGGAGAACAAATAATAGACAAATTATTATAATAAATATAATTTTATTTACAAATCAATTAAAATATAAGTATTTTATTCCAAATTAGGCATCCGAATGCACTTTTTGAATGCCAATCTAAGAACATTAAATTGTATTTAAGTGATTCTTTGCATATAGAATGGCACTTAAATATAACTTAAACATTTCGTAAAAATCAGCCTAAGTACAATTTCCTGCATTTAATATTAAAAGTTGGATTACTGGGAAAAATAATTGAATTCTAATTAGGGCCCGTCTTTTTGTCATTTTTATGAGGTTTACTTGACGAGAATACGGCCTGTTCTCAAAATGATTATAAACTATAAAAATGATATTTTGCGATTAAAATTTCTTTATGTCTGAATGCAAAACCAATTTCAGCACCTTCGTATGATTATTTTACCAATACTGAGCTCTACCTTTACATTTTTAGTTCACATGACACAAAGTGTCGCCATCTAGTGTCGAATATATTTAATTATATTTGAAAGCCGACGCAAAGAGATTTTTCTAGAACTATTTTAATAAATTAGGTGTAAAACTATTTACAAATGAAATGTGATGCCATCCATAACATCAGAGAGTCTATCTGAGTAGTTTTTACACAATAAAACACAACACTTCATCCTTTTCTTCTTAATACTACGAAAATACACCGATTTGCGATTTTTTCAACACATAAGCGCACAGGACGAATGCTGACAGTATACTAACTAAAGCCACGCCCACTATGATGACGTCAGGACCTACTTAGAATCACAGTGCACAGTTGCTTATGCCGTCTCCCCTTTGTATTAGCTTCATGGGTGCGACCACAATCCTGCCAAAGAGAATATAACCACCAGGTACGTTTAAGAGGCGGGACTTCCATAGTAAAAGTAAATGCATGTAACATAGACTGACTGCATGTAAGTACGCCAAGCTCATAGACATAGTATCCTCTATCTACGGCCAAGCTACTCTACCAACATCAAGGTATGACATTTAGTTTTGACAAACAGTGTTGACAACATTGACGAATTAACAATAGTGCTGTAAATGTCTTACCTCGAATAACTTTATCGATATAACCTTTATCGATATATTGTTTATCGATATTTTTACATAGCAAAATTTAGATCTCTATACTGAATTATTTATTAGTAATAAATTTTTTAACGTGGGGATTGAGTAAAAATGCCGATGAGGATAAGAAATCAATGTATTTTATGCACAGCAATTTGTAATTATATCTCCACAATTAGGTACAAA